AAAAACCTGAAGAGAAGAATGTTAGGCTTCCTGATGAGCAGTTTGGTACTTAGAAGCTCTGGACTTCCTTGTAGCTGAGCTGCTAGTTTGTTAAAATGGGAAGATGTAAAGGCAGAGATAGTATTTTTATTAGTCCAGCTTGTATAGCTGAAGAAAAAAGGATACCATTTGGGTGACCAAGCCCTTCAGTTATGAAAGACTCCCTTCAAATTATGCACTTGGGAGCTGAAACGCATAAAAAGGGAGGACATTAGAAATCCTGGATTCTTTAGGGCATACTTAAGTGTGTATATAAGATGTGTAAAAAGCCCTCTTCCATATTCTTCTCCAGCTCCTTCCAAAAACCTCTGTGTGCTCCCTAGGCAATAAATTCCTGTGTCTCAACTATATTAGAAGATAGCACCTCTTAACTCATTTCTATTCCAGAGGCTTAAATATCTTTCCTCTCATTTCAAATTAAACTCAGAATAATAAAATTCACAGGCACTGTTCCTAACATGCACGTATCTTTGAAGTTTGTTATTTCTGTTTCAGAGCTGAAGAAAGACTTGTGTACAAATGACTTTGCTGAGATTCCCAACTATTCCACTTGTTATAATTTATTTAAAAAAAAAAAAAATCACCACAACCTACCAAACCACCCTTGGGCTTATTTTTACCACATATGACCCCAACCACCCAATGCAACCCTCACTCTGTTTTAAAGGTGGACTCAAATGTGCAAGCTTTCATACCAAAATGTTGCAAGCAGCTGTGGAGCATCATGAAGAGACTGTTAAAACTCATTGGGGCTTTAGAAAATACACCAGTGGAGAAAGGTAGAATGCATTGCCTGAAGAGTAAAGATTGAAGAAAGGCACGGATAATCTATCTCTTTTTTATGTAATGAGAAAGGAAACAAACTGTATTATCAATGCTGAAATGGAAAAGAAGCAATATGTCTAAACTATAAGGAAGGAAATTTTGGGTTAGACATTGAGAAGATATTACTACCTTTCCAACTCCCTACTGTTTGAGCAGAAAAAAATGTGGAAGGAGATTTTAAAGGCCAGACTGGGCAACCATCCTCCAGGAATATCATAGGAACCAATTTTATTTTCAGAAAAAGGACGGAGCAAATGCTCTAACACTGCTGGTGGTAGGGTTTTCTGAAGAATATTTTGCCATTTGAACATCTCTTTTCACAGGGTTTCTTGTATCACTAGCCACCAGGAAGATATATGTGATACAAGTAGCAAAGGACTATCAGGTTTGTATCCATGGTTGCCCTTCCTTCCATTCCACATGAAAACAAAGTAAATAAATTAAATTAAAACAGTGTCTCCTTTCTTTCTGCTTCAGAGAAGAATGGGCTTGTAGCTGAAAACAATGTAGATTTTAAAGTGCTGGGTGATACCCTTTAAGGACATGACACTCATTTTCTTGATAATGAGGGGCAAGACTGGAGTAATAAGGGACTGTTTTTACACAAAACAGACAAACAAAACTCAGAAGCTTGTTTCACTTTCGATCAGATCTGCAGTGCTTTGTACGTGATTCAGTCGTCCAGGCATGGCATGAGGTTCTCTGGACTGGCCAAGACTAGGAGACAGTTCTTTTAATCTTAGCTAGCTGTCTATTTGTGTCTCAAACAGACACAAAGGTGCAACACATGGTTATTAAAAGATGGACTTGTCACATGTTCAGAACGGTGATCTTGGCAGAACCAGCCCATAGTTACAGCCAAAATAGCTTTAGTTTAAGACCTTCAACAGTGGCTTCAGAAGGAAAATACAGAATTGATTGAAATATGGTCTTTATCCATATAGGAGCAAAGGGGAATAAAACAGGATAAAACTGAAGCATTGAAGTGTAGTGCTGCTTAGAGGAAGGATGTTTGGTCCCTTTCCCCTTCCTCCCTCCTCTTCCATGTTTTTTCATGTATGTTTTAAAAATCCTGTAAAAAGTCTTTTCCCATACTCTTCCAAGTCTTTGTCATTGACACAAGCCCCTGTCATGTAAGTTCTGTAGGGGAAAAAAATGTCCTCCTTACTCATTATTTTGATACCCAGCTTGGTTTGATGCAGATCATATATATGCAGTACAGGTTGCTTAATGCAATTGGATTATAAGAGGTTTCATAACAGTTTTTCTTATACATTTTTTTTAATATTGTTGATAATGAACACATTACTGTAACATACACATTATTTTATTATATTAGTGGAATTTTCGAACAGTAGAGTGATATAAAATATGGCTAAGAAGCAAGAAGCATTCCAAGAAGTCATGTGAATCACTGAACCCAATCATGAAGCACATTTTCAAAACATAACACAGACAGAATTATCTGAGCAACTTGGACAAAGGACTGCAGCAATGTAGAATGTATTTTATTCTCAAAATGTGTTATAGAGATTCTAGTTCTAATAATAAATCAAATGCTACTGACTAGAGGAAAAGGGTAATCCATAAACAATGAGTGACAATCTTCCAAAACCAGGTAATTTATTCCTTACATTGTGCCCTAATTCAGGAGCAACACTTGACAACACTGGTATCAGATCCTGTAACAATTACCATCCACCACGAGCTCAAAAAAATTAGTAGTAAATTTCTGCTTGTATATTCTGCTTGTAACTATTCAAGAGAATATTGCTTTTAAAATAAAATCACTGTGGACTTCCCCAGTAACGTTCAGGAATTATTCACTGGTGGTAACTTCTTGCTTTGCCCTGCTTCACTTGAAAGATGCCTTTCTAGTGGATTCTACCAAAAGTTAGGAGGATGGGCATAAAGGTTTTAGAAACAAACATACTAAATCTGGTGCTGAGTGGGATGCTCAGCAGCCAGTAGGAAACTCCTCCTCTCTCTCCTCTCTGTACCTACCCAACTATGGGAGTTTTTTTTGACAAGTAAACTGCATTTCACCAACCCGGCACCTCTCGCACTCTTCCTCCCCTCGACACCCAAGGTGGGAGCAGGGGGAGGAGGAGGAGGCTGAAGGAGACCCGGTCCGGTGTGCTGTGCTGCTGGGGGGAGCAGCGGGGCGGGGTCAGTCCTGCGGGGCTCTCCCGTCCTTCCTTCCTTCCTCCCTCCGGTTTTTTCCCTAAAGTTTATTGTGAAGGGGCAACCTTCGCTGTCGCTCACGTGACCCTGACAGGTCCTGCCTATTGAGATCCAGACCACCCACACAGAGGACGATGGAGCTGCTTAATAGAAACAGGCATGTAATTGTGAGGCTTTCCAGCACTCGGCAGAATGTCTGCAACCTAGCAGGGTTGTTTTTTTACATTTTCAGTTCCTTTGGCGTAAAGGGGACGGAAGGAAGGAAGGAAGGAAGGAAGGAAGGAAGGAAGGAAGGAAGGAAGGAAGGAAGGAAGGAAGGAAGGAAGGAAGGAAGGAAGGAAGGAAG